CCTTTAAGTGTTTTGCAGTTTACAGAGGTTTTCTTTATACCCAACTTCCAGTGATGTGTCCGTGGCTGCAGTAAGTTGCACTGGGCTTGAGGTTGATTGATAGGAACTAACTTTCTCTCTCAACCCAATGTTCGCAAGAAGCCTCATGCATATTCTAGAATTTGGGTTTAGTACCAACTTTGGTCTTTGTCTTTCTTGCATTTTTGAGGTTTCATATGAATGAACAGTGCGAGTCACTGAGCTACACACAGTGTCAGGGGCTGCCATGGCTCCTGAGCACCCTGTCCCCCAGATTCTGGCTCCTGGGCACGGGAGCTGCCACTCAGGGAAGCTGGGTAGCCCAGAGAGCAGAGGTTTGTCTGCATAACCACCCCCCACTCCCCCCACTGATTACCTCTAACTGTGCCCCTGCGGTGATGGAGGACAGCCCTTACCTATAACGGAAGGTGTAAATCACTTCACTGAATGAAGTATGCATGGATCAAATAAAAAGCTAAGGTGCTCAACAGTGTGCCCTGGAGTATGAAAGAAGTCGAGGCAGATCTTGAAAGCCTGATGTTTGTAGAATGGAATCCAAGCTTTAGTAACTTAAGTTGTTAATTCATTAATTTCTGGAAGATTGATTTTTCCCTTGTGGACAGTGGCATGTTTTCTCAGGCACTGTGAATAACCACCGTCCACTGTGTTCATTAATTTATTTGACATCTATTCGTCAGCCTCCTGTGTCTTGGTGTTATTTTCTGGGGTACAGATATGTGCTATTTCTTGCTGTCAAGGAGGGCATGGCCTAGTGGGGAAATGAGCACTCGGCTAGTTAATGGGGAGTGACAATAGAGGCTCGGGGGCGGGTGTATTGTTGCTGACACAACTCAGTGGGAGGACATGGCGAATGGGCGTTGACCTCCAGGGCTTTGCTAGGTGGAAGGCTGAGTAGATAGTTCTAGAATAAGCAGGAGTTCACCAAGCAGATGGTGGGGGGAGGGCATTCTAGACACGGGCAATAGCAAATGCAGTCACGTGGAAGTACAGAAAAGTGTGACATGTTTAACTTGCATGTGGGAGAGCAACAGAAATGCCATTTGGCACGCAGAATTCAAGTGGACTTGCCTGAGAAGAAATGTGTGGGTTATACAGTGCTTCCAGTGCTTCCAGATTTTCATCCTTTTATTGTGGTAAAATATACATAATATGAAAATTCCCATTTCCACCATTCTTCAGTGTGTGGTTCTGTGGCACCCGCACCCAGCGTTCACATTGCTGGGCAGTCATCACCAACGTCTCCAGGTCTTTTTTATCTTCCAGCCCTGAAACTCTGGACCCATTAAACCACGAAACACAACACCTCCTCCCTTCCCCTCCCCTACCCCGGACAACCACCGGTCTGCTTTCTTGCTCTCTGACTGCGACTACTCTCAGGGACTTCGTGGAAGTGGAGCCACACAGTATGTGCATTTGTCCATTTAGCGTAATGTCTTCAGGCTCCCCCTGCTTCCCCTTCATGAGTGTCCCTGGCTGGGACAGCGCACTGAGCTCCAGGGCCGCCGTTCCAGGACCGGGTCCCAAGGCTGTGTTTGTGAACCTCATGCGCTTTATCTCCATTCGTGTTCCAGGACTTGTTATGTTCCCCTAAAGGTCAGGTCCTGTAGGACTTAATCTGCCCTTGCTGGTGGGGCTCCGGCAGGCAAAGCAAATACATGAGGTCAGCCTGGCCATGCTGGGGGAAGAGCCGGGCCCGCTGGCAGACTCCGGAGCTGGCAGGGGCTCTGGGATGTTGGCCTGAGCTGCAGACGGTGGCACCAGCCGTCCTGTTTGTTCTGCAGCCCCTGGCAAAGTCCAAGCACATGTTCCTACGCAGCAGAACAGCTGCTCCCCCACCGAGCCCTCCTGCCCCCCAGAGCAGCAGGTGGGAAAAAACGGCCCTCGTGAGCCCCTTCTCTCTGTTCTCCTGGTCACCCCCATCATCTCCTGTCTCCAGATCCGTTTTCTGTCCCCACAGTAAGCGTAGTAACATGGTTACCCAAGTGAAGCGCAGTTACCCTACAAACAAGTGGTTTCATGATAATTAATATTTCATTATTTTTCATTACTCGATTTCATCCCCATAGTTTCTAACAACTGCAATTTAAGTACCTCCTCTTTGGTCGGGAAGGGTTCGAGACGCCTGACCAGCAGGCAGGCGGCGTGGACGCAGAGCGCATCCGACCGGAGAGCCTTTAGAACTGGCCTGCGGGAGTGCGGCCCCTGGCACGGGCCTGCTCTGTGCCTCGCCCGCCCCTCTTGGCTCTGAAGCCCTCCAGGGCTTTCCGCCCGCTGCTGGGAGGAGGAGCAGCTGGGTTGTCACCGTCATCGGGGTTCTGGTCACCTGGTCATGCTCGTCCCTGTAGTCGCCGGGTCTGCAGAGCCTGCCAGAGCCACCTGGGAGCGGGTGCACGGACATCGAATAGAGGCAGTTTTCCAGTTCCAAGGAGAACGTGGAGTTGCATGTTGAGATCTGAAGATCAAGATATTAAAGGCGTGGCTTGTCAAAACAAACTATAGAAATAGTGAAGGTTTTAGATCCCCAGGCAATGACCTGGCTGGGAACCTCTTGCTAGCCTCGGGGATCTTGATTTAAAAAAGGTCTCAGAGACAGTGGAACCAACAGTGAGGTGGAACAAACAAGAAAGACACGAACAGCTACAATATTCTTCTGGAAATATAAGACATTTAAAGGTCCAGTTTGGCAGGCAATATGCTCTCCAAACTCGGGCTGGGAGAATGACCTAGAACCTTCAGAGAGAAGTACTTAAGCCTTGCTATTTTGTCTGTTGCCAGAAAATGGGGCGAAGGAAGTACGGGGAACTTGTAAGAGTGGCTTACTAGAAGAGACCAAAGACGACGGAATAGTTGCAGACAGACCTGTCTAGGGCAGCTTCTGCCACCTCTGGGTGTTTCTAGGACTCTGTGCTCTTATCGCCCACCTGAGTTAATCAAAGCACGTCCTCTGCATGCCTTTGACTGGCAGCAGCGGCCCTGATTTTAGTGGCTTGTTCCCACGGGAGGCACACTAAAGGGCCGTGTTTATTGAAAGCCCTAGTGAATGGAGGTAAATGCAGGTGTGGTCAGGAAGCGGAGCCGGTTCGCCTCTCCCAACGGGCACTGGGCCAAAGGCAGCCAGCCTGCAGAGTCTCTGGTGGCTCCCCCACCCAGAGGTCATTGCAGTTCACCCAGCACTGCCCCTGTGCAGAAAGCTGCAGGCAGGGACTCGCTGCAAACTGCAGCTATGTCCTGAAGGGTGGCCCCTCAGTCACAATGCCGGCCTTTGCCAGCTTGCAGCTGCTGACCTAGAGAGGAATCTGTTTCATGGCTGAGGTCCGGTCCTAAGCCAGCCTCCAGTGCAAAGTGCTTTTCCTCCCTGGCCTGCGACGGGCTCACTCTCCAGTGCTCCGTACTCTTAAGGGGCTTTGGGTTCCCAGATTCTGAAGCCCAGTCTGAGCTGAAGGTTTCTTCTTTCTCCTGTGTGTCTGCTGCCCTGGTCTACTCTTCTTTCAGGCCCTTTTATTAGAAGGACAGCTGTTGACAGAATGGGAGTGACCCCCAGGCCGAGGAGTGACGTACATTGCCATCACCTGGAAACTCCACCCAGCTTAGACCACAGCCTGCCCTGTGAACATAAGGAGAACATTGTACCTGTTCACTAGGTCATGTTCTTTCCTGTGAGCTGCAGACAGCTGAGGGGCACCAGCCCTGACTGCACCACAGAGTAGGAAGACCACCTGGTTCATTCAGCTGGAGGGACACCATGTAGACAGGCTGGGAGCTCTGAGCTCAGTTCCTAAAATCAAAGTGTTGAAGGCACGGCCAAGGGAAGGGTTTGGATTTCTGATGATATTTTCAAAGTAGGAGTTGTTTTCATGTCTTTAGACTGGATTAGGTTCATTTCTATCGACATGTGAACTGGAAGTAACTAGGATTTAGACGTGCGGGGGAGGGTCTGAGCATAGAAGGCTCCAGAGAAGGAGGCCTGTGGGTTGGAGTAGAGGTCTTGACTCTGGGTCCTGAACTATTATTTTTTAATCTGTAGATTAAAGATGTTTGATTAGAGAGCTTGGCAGGTAGGTTTGCTAGGTGGTGATACCAAGATGGGGACCAGGTGAAGATGGTGTCAGTGAACTGGGTAAGCGCTCAGAATGACGCACAGTGAGAAAGACGTGGAATTATACCACCAGTCATGAATATCTGCGCAAGCGTAAGAAATGGCTGTGAATGAGCCGATTAACAGAAAACTCTCTGGGCTTGAGGAGGAAGCCAGGGTCCAACAGCATGCAGGGCGGGGGCCGGAGCAGCCCCGTTCAGGATGGCAAAAAGGAGTATAGATATACAGGTTGCAAGGAAACACCCTCCTTTATATTAACCATCACTAGTCAGGTCCTCTCTGGAATACTTTGGGCTAACAGCGCTGTGGGTAGACTTGGAGATGGACTTACAGATACAGCAGTTTGGGACTCGAACTTGTAAAGAATGATTTAGAATTCATGATTATCTTTTAGTATGTAAAAAGCCCTGATTCAAAGACTGGTGCCAACTCACCCTAATCTTCATTGAGGATGAAATAGACTTTCAGCAGCATTTGGATAGACAGAAGGAAGACATGCCTGACAGTGAAAGTCATTAAATGTCAGACTGAATTACCCAGGGAAGGTTCTGGATCTCTGATGAGATTTTCAAAGGCTGTTTTCATCTCATTGGGATGGATTAGATCCGTTCTTCTGGTCCTGCCTGGTGGTTGAGTAATGAAACTGGTGACCACTGAGTCCCTCCCTGTTCAACCTGAAGATGGCTGAGCCCCTGCCTGCAGACACCCGCCTGCGTTCACAGGCCCCGAGGACCCCGCCCCCCGGGGGCAGCTCCAGCTCCCAGGCCCGTCTGTGGCCCTCTCCTGCGGGTCACGAGCTAGCTGCGCCCTGCACATGGCGCTGATCTAATTGGACTGTGCTTGTTTGTTCTCCTCTCCTTTGCAGTATGAGTTTAAAGCCAAGAACATCAAGAAGAAGAAAGTGAGCATCATGGTGTCAGTTGATGGAGTGAAGGTGATTCTGAAGAAAAAGAAAAAGGTAAGGGACCCTGAATTGGAGCCCGTGGTGAAAGGGGAGCCAGGGGTGGCAGGAGCAGCCACCTGCTCCTCTAGGCTGCTCTCTGTGCAGACCCTCCCCCAGCTGCTGAGGTGGCCACCCAGACCGGTGACAGCGCTGCGGGGCTGCAGCTGGAGCGAGGCGGGGCCAGTGTCCCCATCAGTCCTGGTGTCCTCTGGGGGGCAGGGCCCATCTCCCGTCATCCTTGCTTCACACATCCAAACGCCCTTCCCTGCTTTGATGCCTTTACTTTTGGGTCTTGATCTCGGGAACTACTTTTAAGTGGTGACAAGGAACAGGTGAGCAGGAGGGGAGGCTCCCCAGCAGCGGTCACCTCCTGTCGCGGGAGCTGTCCTCAGTCGCACCTGAGGTGGCGCCCAGCCCCACTGTGCGTCTGTGTGTCTTCCTCTCACACTCACCGCTGCTTCAGCCCGTCTATTTGAACAGCCCTCAGGACCCAGCCCTGCTGATGTTCCCCTGCAGGCTGAGGCGTGGCCGAGGTGGGTGCCAGGGTGGGGGCGATTGTCTGCCCAGGGGCAAGCCTCTGCGCTGGGGCGGGCAGGCCAGCGAGCACATGCTCTTTAAGCGCTTGGCTGTTCGTGGTGATGGGTGTGTTGCGGGAGAATGCTGTTAACCCCGGGAAGGAGCAGGCTTGCATAATGGCAGAGGGGAGAGAGTGCGTTTCCAGAGAGAAATGGGAAAGGCCTGGGCTGACCGAGGATATGTGAAGGCTGTTTTCGCTTGTTTGTTCCGTGATTGCTAATGCCTTGTATTTTATTAATGATGTCTTTGCTTTATACTCATTGGTGGCAGTGCCATGATGTAGTGATGTACAGGCCTCTGGAGCTGCTTCTGGTTCCAAACCTCAGATGCTCTTGATTCTGGTGGAACCTGAGGCCGACCTTGAGGCCTGGGGTTATGGAAGGTAAAGACAAACACATAACAGTAGACAACATAAACTTGGGGAGCCAGGTGCTTGAGAGGATGATGAGGGGAAGTCATCTTGCCAATCCAAGGATTCAGTCTCCACGCTCCTCGCAAGAGACGTGACCCGATGGATGACTGGAGCCCGGCAGGGATGGTGACCTTACTGCTCCCTGAGGGGGCCCATTTTTTCTCTGATTGGCTGGACATTTACAAAGGTCTCCCATATATTAAACCAAAACGTGTTCTCGTGTTCTCTTATGCTCCCTAAAGATGCCTGTATTTAGAAGTGGTTCTAGAAAGTGTTTTATGGCTGTGAGGCTGGAAGTATATAGGAAAAGCATAAGATGTGGTAGACTCTTATAAAGAATGACTTCAAAATTTACAAGTAGTAGGGAATTTCTAATAGCTTAGTAAGTATATTTGACTTTTCCAACCCCACTGTGGGTCCATGGTCCCCTTGCTGTTCTTACCCTGGGGATAGCTTTTCTGCCCTTCCACCTGCCCCACATATATGCACACAGTGGTCAGCCATGGGACAGTCTCTAGGATCTTGTCCTCCTAGGAGTTCTGGAGCAGGACAGGTGTGGAAGCAGGCTGAGGCCTCAGGTAGATGAGGCCTGTCAGCAAGTTGGGCCTCAGTTAAAGACATTATGGATGATGACAATGTGAATTTAAAAGCAGGAGACACCCTCAGGGGGCAAATATGGGCCAGGGCTACCCGGGCTCACACTTCAAGAAGCCAAGCTGAGCCCCAGCTTGGCTTTTATCACGTACTCAACACATGCATGTCAGATAAGTCGGCCCTCGTGTGAGGGGGACTGGTAGCCTAGGGGCCTCCTGAACCAACTGATTGCGTAATGGTTGTGAGTTATGGACACTTCCCAGGTTACAGGGTGCTTTTGCAGCCATGATGGGCGCTCCCTCCATCAGTCCTACTGAAGTCAGGTGGACATTTCACTTGGTGAGCATTCACGGCACCCAGTCACCTCGGAAAACAAGCCATGCAGACGACGCGCTCACTGAACTGCGCCCCCCAGGGGCTGAGCCGTCAGCCTTTCAGTCCAGAACTCAGACTCATCAGTCTTGGAGTTACGGACATTGGGATGTTACCACACGGACAAGGCTCAGAAGAGGCTGACGTGTAAACGAGATGCCCTTATTCACTTTGAGACATGGAATAACGTCCCGGACCGTATCCTCCCATTAGCCTGACAGTGCATTTTCTTCCACGGGAGGCAAGTGGTGTAAGAAGGAGGTAATTAGAGGGCTGCTTGGTGAGCACAGAGATGGGGCAGCTCATCTAATTGTGTGGCAGGAATGTTCCCTGGCCTCTGGCTCCACAATTAACGGGTCCCTGGATATTCACGTTGGCCTTGTCGAGCCTGTGCTGCTCCTGGCGTCTGTCCCACAGCCTCTGCCGGGTTTGCCCTCGGGACTCTCCGGTTTGTTCTTTCAGGGCCGACGCTCCTGTCATCTTTCCTGCACCCTGGTCCTTAACATCATCTTTGCTTACTTTGAGTTAGGCCTGCTGCCCTGGGGCCTGTTCTTCCCCCTTTGGGTAACTTGTACCTATGATTTGACACATTATGGGGTGACCTCGTAGTTCTGCCCTCAGGGGACAGTCTTACTTCCCATCTCATGTGTCCTCCGTGCATCGTATACCATATGTGGTGTCAGCCGTGTTCTGCACGTGAAAACCCTGAGGTTAGAGAGTCTGTGTATTTTGCCCAAGATCCCACCACACGTGAGGACACCTGGCCGCTGAGGGGTCACCTGGCTGAGAAGCTGGCCTCCCTCCCCCGAGTGAATGAAGAATGAGCTGCAGAAGCATCTCCCTCGGGAGCCCACGCGGCTTGTGACTCAGTGTAAAACTCCATCCTTGGTAATTGCTGGGCTGGGTTCTCTCCAGAGAAAAGAGGCGATCTAACAGGTCTATCCTAGATCTGAGTCTTCGGATGCCAGGCCTGGGAGCAGGGAGCCTCCCAACTCATTTTCTCTACCCCCGCACGGCATGCCTTTCAGGCTGTGCCTGGGATTTAAATAATTGCTTTAATCACAGTGTTCATTTCACACTGCCTCGGACAGATGAATGCACATGACCAGTAATCAGCCTCTCTGACATCTTATCTCCATGTGACGTTCCCTGGTGTCTGTGTGTGCTGGTACTGCCCCCTCTGTGTGTCTGTCTCTGTGTGTGTCTATCTCGGGGCTGAGTGCAGACGTGCTGCACTGGTCTCCAGGGAAATCAGCAGCCCCAGATTTCGGAGGTGGCCATCCTGATGAGGTTAAGTGCTGGAGCTCTTGTGGGCAGCTGAAGGTGGACAAACAGGGCTGATACTCCGCCAGAGGCACTGGTACCACGTGCAACCTGACATCCCCACTGGTTAATCCACGTCTGTGCCGCACCAGCTGGTGAAGGTGGTGACTGGTCTCCTCCTCCCACTCACAACAGGCTGGTGTTCCCCGGGTCTGTGTGGCATGCCGAGGAGCCCCGGGCTGAGATGCAGAGACCTAGGTCCCTGTCCTGGCACTTCTCTTCCTGGCTGTGTGCTTCTAAACAAGCTATTTTTCCTCTCTGAGCTTCAACTGTAAAATGAAGAGTTGGACTGGGAGACGGCTTTGACTTGGCCAGTTCAGATGCTCCGCACCAGCTCCAGAGCCGTACTGTTGAGGGCTTGTGCGTGTGTAGACAGGCTAGCGGTACCTGTTCTGGTCTTGGAGAACCTGCTGGGCTATAGAGAAAGCAGGCCCCAGAGGCACAGCGGGTGTGTGTGGTGTTGACCTTGTGGGGCAGGATGGGATCCTCTGAGGTCAAACAGTCCCCAGAGCAGCCGCCGAGCCTGTGTGTGACTGGTGAATGGTGGTGTGCATCCAGGCTGGGGAAAAAGCGCATTTATGGGGATTCCCTACTCCCAGAGAACGGTTTAAGGGTGAGGGCCATCCCTGTAAGCTCAGCACGGGCTTGGACCCTTGGCCATGCGTAGTGTGTTCTCAGTTATTGCGGCTGTTGACTAGCTGGATGCATAAACGTGCTGTGTGTGTGGGAAGAACTGAGTACCTAACAGTGGGATCAAATGAAGTCTAGTTTGTTGGTTTGGGCTGTCTTCTCTTTCCCTCTTTTCTCCTCCTGCCAATCTGCCCCTTTGAGAAAACAAGTCAAGAGCCTTTCCCAGGCGTAGAAGGGCCTCGGTAGAAATTGCTAGCTTCTGTGGTTTTATGAGGAAGACTTGTTCAGTGACTCTGATCTTCAGGTGCTTTATTCTGGGGTCGGCAGTAGCCGGATGTTTGTGAGCATCTCTCACTGAAATGTAGATAAACAGCATCTTTTTGGTTATATTAACAAGTGTCTAGAAATGCTGTCATCTTGAACTGATGCCAGCAGATAATGACTCTCAAGTTCCTCAAGAATCTTAGCTTGTGTTTGTGGTATGAACCCAGCAGCTAAGATAATTGGCTTTGCATTGTCACCTCTCAGTCAGTACATTTTCTTCAACTCCCAGTTTGGCCTGAGTAATGATCTTTTCCGTGTATATAGTAACGATTATTTATGTCACTACTGGAGTCACACCATAGCACCACTTGTTAGGGAGCAGACTTCCAAAGGAGAAAGATTAGTCTTTAACTCCATCCAAAGGGTTTTCCGACAGAAGGACTGAAAGGGCTTCTCTTATAAACCAACAACTTTGTTGGAATCTCCTAAGGCAACATTTTATAATGGCTCCATCGTTCTCGTTAACAACTATTTATTGTGTGTCCACCACCCAGTATGTTCAAGGAACTGGGGAGGATGCGTAGGGCTATTAGACACAGACTCTGTCCAGCAAAATTATTTTTAATGGCACTATATGCACATGCAGGTCGATTGCAGCTCCTATAAAACTGCATTGTAGCTGTTTCTCTCTGTGCCACACAGACTGTGAGCCTGTAGGGCAGGGACCGTGAAGACGACCAGAGGGAGCAAACTGCCGAGAGTATTCGCACACTGCGGTGATCGGGAGAACAGCTAACAACGATAGTTAGCGCATCGAGTGCCTACCATTTGCTTATTTGATGCA